CCAGCGCATGCGATTCTAATCCGCTACCGTGCCGTGTCCATTCGCCATCCGGATACGCACGTACTTTTGAAAATCGCTCGCCTAAGCCGCTGACGCATGAAAAATTCGGGGATTGCGAAGGCGATCTAACCCACTTCTTTAAAAACGTACGCAGATCTTGCTAGAAAAAAATTAATAGTCTTGACAAATCAAAACGATATATATATATATATATATGTGTGTGTAAGCAGGAACATTATTATCTTCATATAGAAGATTTTTAATCTTGAGTTGAGTTCAAAACTACTTGCATCCATACAAATTCAATCAAATAAAGGTCAAAATTTTTTAAATCATAAATCCATACAGCGTTAAATTTTACACATATTGTAGCCATACTGTAGCAACAATGCTGCTGCAATAATTTCCATTTCTTTTTATTTAGAAAGGATTGCAAGCGTAAACTCAATGAGCGTAAACAAGATGATTGGTAAAAGGAGAGATTATATAATTCACAATACTTCGATTTTTCAATCTATTGTAGCTAAGAGATCAATTTGTTCGTTTCTCTATGCCAAGAGCTTTCCCTTGACGCACATTCGTTTCCGTTTCGCCGAACTTAAGCCGCTCAGCTATAAAGCTCTGTATTTGAGCAGCGATGCGTGCAGAGCGACAAAATGTTTCTCCTTGATCTCGGGATTCTGTGCAAAGCAAGGCGCTTTTATACGAAAAAGGCGAGCTTAATGGACGTGGCTGTGAAAAACAGATCGCTTTTCGTCTTTTGATTCGTAGACAGATTCAAACGCGAAAGCTGATAAAGTTATGATTGAAGTTTACGTCATTCGACCGATGTTTCCTAAGTACGCGGAAGGAACACTTTTGCTGGCAAATAACATTTGGCCAGATACAAATCTGCAAATAATTTTATTGTGCCTTTAAAATTATTATGTACGACGTTCATATTGGTTGCTAAAAGATGAAAAATTTTTGCAATATTATCATGTTTAAGCATTTTATATAATAATTTTGATGGTTCAACAAAGTTATTTTCAAATTATCTAATCAAATTTTAATTTTTCTCTAGCAAAACTGTTTTTCTGTATATGGAAAGTATAATTAATTTAATGCATTTTCTTATGAAATTGATTTTTTTAAATAATTTATCAGTTTTGTAACCAGTTTTATATCAAAGCCGTATCTAAAGTGCTTTATTTTAAATGTTTATTTTATTAAGATTAATGCAAATTGGAGCACTTTACACAAAAAGAATAGCTTTACTGGAAAACTTAAAAATTTGGCCGGATGCAGATCTGAAAATAATTTTGTTGGACCAAAAATTATTATCGTAGAACGCTTAAATGATAATAATACTGCAAAAATTTTTGATTTTCTAGCAACCAATCTGAATGTTGTACATCAAAATTTTTCCCAGCAAAATTATTTTTAGATTTGCATCTGGCAAAATTTTTAGATTCGTCGGCAAAACTATTCTTTCTATCTCCATCTTACGTAAATATGAAAAAAACATACTTCGTTGTTTGAAGAATCTTTTCTAAGCTAAAACTTGCACAGAAAGAAGAAATTATCTTTTGCTTATCTTAATTTTTTAAATTATAATGTTAAATATCTAATGTGCGTATTGAGATTGATAAAAAAACAAGTTCAAGTTCAAAAATATCAACTCTATGCTCTTAAAATTCTATAACAATTAATTCTACAGTTTTCCACAGTTTCGTATAGATTTTTAATGAAATCCTTGTTTAAAGTTTATTGTTTCCTTATCATATGAGGATTGTCGAGAATTGCATATCAGTTGAATAAAATTGTTATAGATATGCATATATGATACAGTTTTGAAGCGTAATATCGCCACTGTATTGAACATACAGATCATTGTTTGTAAAGTAAACAAGTCTTTCCATTGGGCGCGTTTTTCCGACAAGGGAGCTCACTGTTCGAAAGAACAATTACTCCTGGAAAATAATAATATTTATACCTGTTACGATGTGCACGGCCAATTTGGTCGATAAAGCAAACAACCCTGAAGCGGATTTTGCATTGCTTCTTTTTGTTACATGCGTACATGCGTGTCCGTGCATATATAAAATCGTCGTTTTTCAATTTAAAAAAAAAACATCGCTTTTTTTTACATATTTCAACTTGCTTACTGACGACATTTCTATAAGATTTTTAAAAAATTCGCCGCAAGCGAATTTCTGATAATGAGGAGACGATATTATTATTGAATGGGAAAGCTTTTCCATCATTTATCAAATGGTATTACGAAATGAAATTCTAGTATACAAAATTATAACAAACCTGTCATAAGAGTATGACAAAAATAAATATTTTATTTGATAAATACTCTTTATAAATATTTTTGTCATGTTTTATTAAAAATATGACAAAAATAGATATTTTGTTAAATATTTTATAAGATAATTAAAGAGAGAGAAAGCGGATTTCTCTCTTTAAATATTTTCGCTGTTTTATATATTGTATGTAACAAAGAATAAAAAAATTCTCATGATAATTATTATTATACTATCTATTACGATATTCATAATCTGTTTATTCGAACATTATTTATTTCGATTGACAATTACAACTTTAAGATAAAGAAAAGACAAAGATATTTTATTCAACCTTTTAAAAGTCTCAACTTTTTGTTACATGTTTGCTGGTATCGGTTACATTAATATATCTCACTCTTCGAGAAAATTGGATTCTGCCGGTTAAAACGTATGATGTCCCGGTGCGAGAAGAAATTCACGTTGCGCCAGTGAAGTATCTCTCTCTCTCGCTTCTCTCTCTCTCTCTC